TCGCGTGGCACTCCAGGCCTCTCTATCCACCCTTTTAGTGTTCTGGATGAGGCTCAGTCACCCTTTTGATAAGGTCCTGGCTTGGCACAGGCAGGATGCCCAGTATGGGTTTGGTGAGGGCCTCCAGATTGGGGCTCCAGCCTCCAAGCTCTCAGTCACCCAGCAACACCCCCCTTGCCTCTCCTGGACTTTGACTGCTCACCTCTCTCTCATGTCCCTTTCTGTTTGGAATCAAGAGTCTGTTTCCTGTTGTGGTCATTGTCAGAGGAGCCCCTCGCCTGGACACTGAGTCTTTGGGGCCGCTTACATGCAGGTGGAATGTGGGCATGGCTGGCATTGCATGGGTTTGGGGTGGACACATCTAGCAGTTGAACCCTGAAGACTCAGAAAAAGACCCAGAAGCTGGGACTGTCAGAATCACTGTCTTGGGAAATATCCCATAGCTTTCCCTCATCCCTGCCCTGACCCTAGCCTGGAGCATTTGAAAGTAGGGAGGACACAGTGGCTTCTATTGCCCTCCAGGGGGCTGAGGGACAGCGGGGAGGTACTTCCTTCCTTCCCCATTCTTCCTTTTCCTGAACCTGTTCTGTGAAATGCAGCCATCTTGGGCCCATTTCCTCCCTTTACTATCCCACTTTCCAAGCTCCCCTCCCCCACCAGTCAGCTTTTTAGGCCTGAACAGCACCCAGGAATCAGTTGGCTCTGAAAGCCACAACAGTGAGGCTACGAGAATTCTTTTGTGCGGATGTTTGCGTGCATGCTTGTGTGTGCACACAGAGATAGCAGACTCGGGGATTCACTCCACACATACATACAGCAGACACACAAGAAGACACACACACACAGCTAACAGAACCGTGTATTGATTTCCCCAGACACAGACACCAACACACAGTCACTCGTGAGTGCACCACCTCTCAGAGAAGTCACATACACACGTGCTCATGCATGCACGCACAGCGCTACATAAATACCCATGTGCACATTTGGCTCACTCCCCACATGCAGATCCACATCCACACGCATGCCCACGGACACCTGCTCACAGGCACATTGAGACAGACATGTGGATGGCATGCACAGAGCTGCCTGTGTCATGCACAGGGGAGCTGACTGGGGCAACAAGTTGGTGCTGGAGAGGCAACTGGCGGGGAAGGCGCAGACAGAGAGTAGGAAGGAAATGAAAGGCAACCTGGAGGCCCAGCCAGGGCTGTCTCTTCCATGTTTCTCTCTCCAAAGTGGTGGAGAGGGTGAGGAGGGAGGGACGGGGAAGCCAGCCGGCTGGGGGCGGGGCTGGGGGCGGGGCCAGAAGCCTGGGCTCGCCCAAATGTTAGTCACTAACGTCCGTCCTTCTCTCCTCTCGCCTCTCCCCACCTTCCCTTTCCTCCTCTCGTATAACTTCGTATAATGTATGCTATACGAAGTTATTACGTGCTGTGATGTGGCCCATCCTAGACATCCCCCTTCTGCCTCCCCTAGCCCACTTGCTCTCTCCTTGTCAGCCTCCCACGACGTGGGGGTGAGGGGCGCAGCACTCCCTGCCCCGCCCCTTCCCGGGCTCTGCCAGGTCTCTGCTTCCCCTTTTGTCTGTCTTCCATCTCTCTGTTCCTCTTCCCGACCCTCAGAGCCTCTCCGACCCTCAGAGCCTCTCCTCTCAGGGGGCCAGCTGCCCATGCCTTGCCCCTGATGGCCCCGAGTGTAAGCCTCAGCTCTCTGCTGCCCTGTCCCGCAGCCATTCTGCACACTTCAGCTGGGCTCTAGGCCTTTGGGTTGGGCCTGGACCCCCGTGGGGGCTGTGTCTGACCTGGAGGGTGGATAGGGGGTGCCTGGTGGCCACCAGCCAAACAAGGACTGGGGGAGGTAACAAGCCCAGCCTGCCTTCTCCCCAGATATCAACAGGGTCTTTGTGGCTTCCTAAAGGCTGTGGTTGGAGAGAGAGGGAGGAGCCGGGGCAGGGTGGAGAGTTCCTTTGCAGGAGGAGGGTCTGGACTGCTGGTCTTTCTAGAAGCTTTTCTTTGTCCAGTGCCCCCCACCCAAGGCATCAGCTCTGCAGCCCCTGCCTGCTCATCCAGATCCCTGAGGAATGTGAGTAGCTGAAGGGAGCCTCGGCGCCTCCCTTCGTCGTTGTGCTGGGTCCCGTTTATCGTCTACCTCCGCATCTTCCTAGACCTGATCCTCGCCTCTCACGCCCTCCTTTCCTGGGCACGGGTAGGCAGAAGGTACTCAGTACGCTGGGTACCTCTGGAGGAAAGGGTAGAGGGCGCGGGGTGTGTCAGCACCACGGACAGGGACACGCGCGGGCGTCCCGGTGCTATTTTCAGCACCACGGACAGCGGGCCCGGCGCAGGGGCCGCCCTCTTGGGCCTCTTGTGTGCTCTCCCTTTGCCCGTCCCACCCCACTCCGACTCCTCTTTCACCCCCCCAAAGGGGTGTGGCTGGCAGAAGAATGGGGCACCCCCAGTCCTCAGCTAGCTTGTGCAAAGGCCTGGATTCAAGTCTTGCCCCGAGTACACTTGGGTAATCCTGAGCTGGTTCTTACCCATAGTGGGCCCTTGGAAGCCCTGTGTGAACTGAGACAGAAAGAGACAGCTTGGAAACACCAGGCCCCCACCCAGCAGCCTTCTGGATCCTTTTTGATGTGTAGTTATTTGGTGAGGTTGGGCGGTGGGGCTGCAGGAGCACATGTCTATGATTCCAATGTTTTGGGGGGAAGTCACAGGTAGGTGTGTGGGTGTTGAGGAGTGTGGCTGTAGGGTTGTGACATAACATGAGCATTTGTGTGTGCTTGTGAGTTGGGCAGACTGTATATTTGTGTCTGTGAATGTGTCTGATTGTGACTGACTAAGCATGGTTATTTGTGAATGTGATTTTGATTTCCTATATGGGTAAGTTTGTGAGTCACTAACTATTACTTATCGATCCAGTTGCTGAAGGTCTGGAGGTATGTGAGTGCAACATTTGATTATAGTGGTTGTGAGTATGTGTGAGTGGGGCTGAAACTGAGTACACGTTTGTACGTGGGGGGTGCTGTTACTGCGTGGTGTTTTCTCCTGACTGTAGGCAAGAATTGCCAATACGCTGCGCTAAGCGGCTGTCAGACTTTGTGAGTGGGCATTTCACAGGGTATCATGTGTGAGGGCATCTGTGTGTCTTTAGCTACGAGACTCCAATCCCTTCCCCACCTCACCTTGCCACCTTTGTCTCTAAGCCTGTACATGGAAGAGGCCAGTGTCACTGAGAGACAAGCTGGGGGCTAGGGTGGAGGAGACTGTGCCAGGAATGGGAGAGTGGCTGAGAGAGGTGGGCTCGGGAGGCACCTCGCATCAGGGGCAGTGAGGGTTTGTAGGAGGTAAAGAGGGGTTGACAGGACAGCTGTTGGGGATGCCGCCGTAGACATGCTCATAGAGGTCCATACAGTCACGCCCATGCACACTCGCCCGCCACAGGTTCAAATGGACACACGTGGGGGTGGACACAGATGAACCAGTCACCTTATTCAACCAGGTGCAGTGATATGAAAGGGGCAGAGACACTGAGGGGCCACACAAACAGAAACACACACAAGTGAGGTTTTTAGACACACAGGCCCAGAGGTGGATATACAATAGAACGTTGGGCACTGCAAGGCAGGCTTACACGAACAGGCCTGCAGATGTCCTCTGGCAAGTCATAACCACATGCAAACCTACTGGCGGATACTCACAGAGCCTGCTGCAGCACACCCCAGGGGGCCACGTCAGTGCCTGCACCCCCACTTTCGCACATTCATAGACATGCGCTCATCCTCCTCCTCTCCCCGCCTCCTCTCACTTGCTTTTCAGGGCCTGCGTCCTGGTTTGCAATGCCAGGGCCTTACCCTGTGCATCAGCCTGTCCTTCTACCAGGTGGGCTGGGCCTTCTTGACCAGTGTGTGTGTGTGGTGGGGGCAGTGAGAAATCAGAGAAAGATGGAGTGGGGAGAGAGAACTAGGCCCAAGACTACAGCAGCCCTGAGGCTGCCCCAGGCACTGACCAGCACTTGTTACAGACCCTGTAAGGTATAGTGGGCGGCTGCAGTGGCCGGAGGCCTCCTTGTTGGAACCCACCCTTCATCTCTCCCTCCCCAGCCACTCCGGCTCCTTTGTCTCTTTTCCTGCTTCCTCCACTGAGTTGATTTTCCACATCTTGTCTTCTCTGTCATTGTCTCTTGCTCTGCACTGGCCCCTTCCCAGCTCAAGGCCCACTGTTGTGTCCCCAGGGAGCCCCCTTTTCTCTACTGGGGGTCCTTACACTGAGGTCTTCTGCAGAGACAAAGCATTCAGAGGCAGCCCACTGTTCCCCTCCCGTCCCTCCCTCACTCCCTCCCTCCTGGCCTCCCTTCCACTGGGCCACCCTGGCCCGTGCTGGGCTGAGCCCTGGGGCTGGTGCAGTTTCTCTGGCCTCTGCCCCGGGGAGCTTGGTGGCTGCTGGGAGGAAGGAAGGAGGGTTGGTGCTGGCCCTGCGGGCTAGGGAAACTCAGCTGCAGCAGGGACTTTGGGAGGGTTTGAGGGGGAGGGGCAGCTGGGCTCTGAAGGCCGGGCCTAGTAATTGAAAACACTGAGCTGTGCTAATTGGATTAGGAGGGAAGTGGGCTGGAGCAGGGGAGGCGTCCCGGGCGGTCTGCCTCCCAACCTTCCGAGGCATCCTGGGCGCTGTGGGGGTTGGTTCTACAAGGCCCTTGGCCCTGCCGGGGGCCTGCAGGGAAGCTCCTTGTTAAAGGCATGGATTTCCCTCTGCCTGCACGCTGGAGCCCCGGCCTGGCTCCCCCTGAGCCTATAAGCCTGTGTCTCTCTCTGGGGATCCCCTCTCCCTGGGCAGTGCCCTGCCTGAGGATGAGTTATCCAGGCTCTGTCCTGTCTCCCTGGGCTTGACCTGCCACTGCTGCAGGCCCGCGTGTGCCCCTTGTTGCCAGCATTGCAGCCGTCTCTCCCCTTTCCCTGCCCTTCTCCCCATGCCATCGGCCCCAGGGGGCTGCCTTTCAGCATGGCTCTCCCTTCTCTCCCCCGCTGCCCGGATGCCTCAGATGAAGGATACCATGGTAAGTTGGGGGAGGGGTTGAGGGTTTGCCAGAAGGCCAAAGACAGAGGGAGCGGGCCCCTGGCCAAGTCCAGTTCAGTTTTCCCTGCATGCCGGGTACCGGGTGCTGCGTGCAGGCAGGGAGCTGGCTTTTCTGCCTCTTGGGTCCCTGTTCCAGCCATCTCAATCCTGTGGCTCTTCCTCTGTCACCTGTGGGGGGCTCTTTGCTCTGTCTCTGCTCTCACCTGGCTTTGCTCGGCACTCTCTGTCCCTCAGTCCTCCTCTCTGGTCCCCTCTCTCCCTGTCAGGGGTTTGTCCTTCTTGGTTTTGTGTGTCTGGCTGTTACCCTCTCTTCTTTCTGTCACACCCTTCATCTCTCTCTCAGGTGTCTTTCTTTGCAGCTTTTGCTGCTGTCTTGTCCCTATCTCCTGCTACCTGTGTCCCTTTCTTGCTCCCTCTTTTCACATCCTGCAAGCCCTCCCTCCCTCCCTCCCCCCTATGGCCATGGGGCCTCTAAGGGCTGCAGACCCTACTGCCCTCATGAAGGGACAGGGGTCCAGGCCATGGTGCGAGCCAAGCACCATCCTCACCACCACTCTCCCCATCCTGTCCCCAGTGATGGAGCCACCTGTCATCACAGAACAGTCTCCACGGCGCCTGGTTGTCTTTCCCACAGATGACATCAGCCTCAAGTGTGAGGCCAGTGGCAAACCTGAAGTGCAGTGAGTGACCTCTGCCCTCTAAACCCTTGTCGCTGCCTGCTGACCTCGGCCTCCAGCCCTTACATCTCCCTGTGCCACCTAATTCTGAGCCCAGAAGCCCCAGACCTCCCTCAGCACCCAGTCCTTGCCCTCTCCCGGTCCCTGCACCAGGGCCCCCTGGCTGCTTCCAGTCCCTGTCCCGGGATCAAGGCCTCTGAGCCCTTTTCTGCCCACAGGTTCCGCTGGACAAAGGATGGCGTCCACTTCAAACCCAAGGAGGAACTGGGTGTGACCGTGCAACAGGCGCCCTACTCCGGCTCCTTCACCATCACTGGCAACAACACCAATTTTGCCCAGAGGTTCCAGGGCATCTATCGCTGCTTTGCCAGCAATAAGCTGGGCACTGCCATGTCGCACGAGATCCAGCTCATGGCCGAGGGTGCGCGGTGCTGCGGGGACCCAGGAGGGCCTGGGGCACATGAGACACTCCCTCAGCTGGCGGCTTAGCATGCAAGGGGCCTGGGTGCCCTGCCAGCTCCCCCCCTGTGCTCCTGGTCACCACATCCCCTTCCCTCTCGGTCTTCCTCAGTGTCTGCCTCGCGGGAGCTGCAGCTGCGTGGGCTGGGGGCTGGCTGAATGGGCAGATGACTGGTTCAGGGCCTGCTTTGTCCCTCCCTCTGGCCAGCCCTGTCTGTCTGAGTTACTGCCCTGGCTTGGGCTTAGTGGCTTGTGTTTCTGTCCCTATTTGCTTCACCACTCTCGGGTCGCCTCTGTCCATGTGCCCCTTTCATCTGGCCCCTGCGCCCTCTGCCCTCCCGCTCTCCGTCTCCCCGCACCCCTCTCCCCCGACTCTGCTTCTCTGTCCTTCTCGGCTCTGTCTTCCCTGGGGCTTTCCCTCCCCGTTCCATCCTCCCTGAGCTTTCTGCCTCCTGAGCGCCCTCCCCTCCCTCCCCTCCCCGCCCCTCTGGTTACCTCGGGAACCGTTGCCGTGGTTTCTGTGTCAGGATGATGGAAGGGTCTGTGGCTCCCGCACCGTCCTCAGCTCCCCTCCCCCACTGCGGCACCTCCCCTCCCCCTACCCATTCTCCCCGCACAGTGGGGGGCTCTACCTTCCGGGGGAGCGCCAGACCTGGGCCCCTTGCCCATCCCCAGGATCGCCTCCCTCCTCCTTTCTCCTGTCCTGCACTTCCTCTGCCAGGAGGAGAATGTCAGCCTTGCTGTCCCTTCTAGGTGCCCCCAAGTGGCCAAAGGAGACGGTGAAACCAGTGGAAGTGGAGGAAGGGGAGTCGGTGGTCCTGCCTTGTCACCCTCCGCCCAGCGCAGAGCCGCTCCGGATCTACTGGATGAACAGCAGTGGGTGCCGCGAGGGGCTGCTGCCTAGGGCCGGGCTGCCGGCGGGGGTCTTCCCACACGGGGGTCCTGGCCTCTGCCTCCTTGCCCCCACAGAGATCCTGCACATCAAACAGGATGAGCGGGTGACAATGGGCCAGAACGGCAACCTCTACTTTGCCAATGTGCTCACCTCGGACAACCACTCGGACTACATCTGCCACGCCCACTTCCCGGGCACCCGAACCATTATTCAAAAGGAACCCATTGACCTCCGGGTCAAGGCCAGTGAGTCCTGAAGGCTCTGACAACCCCCCACTCCTCCTTCACCCTCAGGCATGGCCCTTCCCACTGTAGCTCCCAATCTTCCTCCAGGACAGCTTGGCTCCTGCCTTGACCCTGCCCCGACCCTTTTCCAGGCAGCAAGAGCAGAGATGGGGCATTCTCTTTAACAGAGGAGGAAACAGAGGCCCCAGGGGCTCACTGGGGTGTCCAGAGTCACCCAGCAGTGTGATTCCATGGGTGGAGGGAGAAGTGGGCCAGGCCACCCACCCCCTTTCTCCTGGCAGCCAACAGCATGATTGACAGGAAGCCACGCCTGCTCCTCCCCACCAACTCCAGCAGCCACCTGGTGGCCTTGCAGGGCCAGCCATTGGTCCTGGAGTGCATCGCCGAGGGCTTGTGAGTCTGGGCACCCAGGGCGAGGGAGGGTGAGGGTTAGGGCTGGGTGGCCCCAGCGGGGACTCGGGTCTCAGCTGGGGAGCTGGGGTGAGCAGGCTTGTCCTCTCTCTCTTCTTCTGTCTTCCCTTGGCCTCTCTGCACCATGGCCCCTGGGCAGCCCCACGCCCACCATCAAGTGGCTGCGCCCCAGTGGCCCCATGCCAGCTGACCGCATCACTTACCAGAACCACAACAGGACCCTGCAGCTGCAGAATGTGGGCGAGGAGGACGACGGCGAGTATCGCTGCTTGGCCGAGAACTCGCTGGGTAGTGCCCGGCACACCTACTATGTCACCGTGGAGGGTACGAAGCCTCTGCCAAGCATGCCTGCCCCCGGTTGCCCCAGGCTCCCCAGAATGATCTCCCGGGTTGGTGGCCTGTGACAGCCACTGGCACGGGGCAGGGCAGGGTCTGCGCTGAGGGCAAGAGCTAGCTGCGTGCTGCGGGCTCAGGGCGGCTCTCCCCTTCTTCGCAGCTGCCCCGTACTGGCTGCACAAGCCCCAGAGCCACTTGTACGGGCCAGGAGAGACCGCCCGCCTAGACTGCCAAGTCCAGGGCAGACCCCAACCAGAGGTCACCTGGAGAATCAACGGGATCCCTGTGGAGGGTGAGCAGGGCCGTGGGCAGGGGCAGGGAGTGTGGTGACCCTGGGCACTGTGAGGGAAGAGGAAGAGGAGGCTGAGGAGGGGCCTCAGCGCAGCTCACCTCTGGGGCCCCACCTGCTGCATGCACAGAGCTGGCCAAAGATCAGAAGTACCGGATCCAGCGTGGCGCCCTGATCCTGAGCAACGTGCAGCCCAGTGACACAATGGTGACCCAGTGCGAGGCCCGCAACCGGCACGGGCTCCTGCTGGCCAATGCCTACATCTATGTTGTCCGTGAGTGCCAGCCACATCGCCCTGCCCCCTGCCCCCTCTTAACTCCCAGTCGGTCTCTGCAGCCCACTGGGCAAAGCCACCGGAACGGCCCAGCCAGCAGCTGGTGTGTCCTCAGCCTTCTGGGGCTGTCTTTCTCCTTGCTAAGACCCTTGTCCCCATGTCTCCCCAACCCTCACACAGCTGGGGGAGGTGGAGGAAGGGCAGGGTCTTGTTGCCAGGAGTGAGCCTCAGGGAAGACTAGGGGCTGGGCCGAGGCGGCTTTCTGGAAGAGGCAAAGTGCCAGCTGGGTTTTGGATAATTGGTAAAACTTGGATGGCTGGGACCAGAAGCACATCCACGGCAGAGGGGACAGGGCATCTGAAGGCGGAGCTGGGAGCAGGGAAGCAAGATGTGCCGGGCTCTGGGGCCTGAGGATGCCGGGGGACAGTACTGGCTCCTGTCTCCTGAGGCCATTCCTCCCCAGAGCTGCCGGCCAAGATCCTGACGGGGAACAACCAGACGTACATGGCAGTCGAGGGCAGCACTGCCTACCTTCTGTGCAAGGCCTTCGGAGCCCCTGTGCCCAGCGTCCAGTGGTGAGCGCTCCATCCCAGTAGGGGGATCTCTCAGCCACATGTGGCCCGGGGAGCCCAGGCCAGTGGGTCTGAGCCAGGCCCACCCTGCTCATCTAGGCTGGACGAGGAAGGGACGACAGTGCTTCAGGATGAACGCTTCTTCCCCTATGCCAATGGGACCCTGGGCATCCGTGACCTCCAGGCCAATGACACTGGACGCTACTTCTGCCAAGCTGCCAATGACCAAAACAATGTGACCATCGTGGCTAACCTGCAGGTTAAAGGTCAGATGACTTCCCCCACATGACTGGCAGCACCTCTGGGAGGGAGGGTCAGGGTCTCTGGAGGATATCAGAGTGACCTTCCTTCCCTTTCACTTTCCTCAGATGCAACTCAGATCACACAGGGGCCCCTGAGTGCAATCGAGAAGAAAGGCTCAAGGGTGACATTCACGTGCCAGGCTTCCTTTGACCCCTCCTTGCAGCCCAGCATCACTTGGCGTGTGGATGGTCGAGACCTCCAGGAGCTTGGGGACAGTGACAAGTGAGGACCCAGCGCCAACCTGGGCTTGGTAGAAGGGGCAGAGTGGGAAAACCTGAAAGCGCCAGGCTTGTCCATGAGGGGAGCTCCCTGGTTTGAGGGGGAAGGTTCTGGCAGGAGAGGGAAAGGAGGTAGGTGAGGAGGAAGGGAGAGGAGCCAAGCTGGCAGGGAAGTGATTGATGGCTCTGCTGGGAGCCGAAGGACAAACGTGGCCCCTCGCAGGTACTTCATAGAGGACGGGCGCCTGGTCATCCACAGCCTGGACTACAGCGACCAGGGTAACTACAGCTGTGTGGCCAGCACCGAGCTGGACGCAGTGGAGAGCAAGGCACAGCTCTTGGTGGTGGGTAAGTCTTAGGATGGTGTGGGCGCACAGCCTGGGGGCATGAGGTGGCCCAGGCTCATATTTCCAGGCCCTTTCAAGTTGGGGGGGGTATGGCTCTTGAGGGGGCCAGAGAACCCACCCTCCAATGGCCCTCAGGGAGCCCCGGGCCGGTGCCTCAGCTGGAGCTGTCTGATCGTCACCTGCTGAAGCAGAGCCAGATGCGCCTATCTTGGAGCCCGGCTGAAGACCACAATGCCCCCATTGAGAGTAAGAGACCTAAGTGTGGTGCCACCTCCCCCTTGTCACCACTGCCAGCCCTTCCTCCTCCCGGGTCCTCCATCCTGGGGTTGTGGCTTCAGGACTGCCCACCATAGTGGACACGCTTGTGTTCAGGGGTTCATGGTTCCTCATGCGAGTCTGGAAATGCCAACTGGCTTAGGTGCCCACAGAGAGCCAGACTCATACACCCCCACTACCTTTCCCCTAAGCCACATGCCAATTACTTCATTGGTGGTTCTCTTCTTGGCAGAGTATGACATTGAATTTGAGGACAAGGAAATGGCGCCTGAGAAATGGTACAGTCTAGGCAAGGTACCAGGGAACCAGACCTCTACCACCCTCAAGCTGTCGCCCTATGTCCACTACACCTTTAGGGTTACTGCCATCAACAAATACGGCCCCGGGGAGCCCAGCCCCGCCTCTGAGACTGTGGTCACACCTGAGGCAGGTGAGCCAGGGTGGTGCTCATTCCCATGCCACCTGGAAGGGAGCACCAGTGGCCAGGGCCCCAGGCTCTGAAGGGAGGGCCTAAAGAGGCGCTTGTGTTCTAGCTCCAGGGGAGCTGGGGGTGCTGGACTGTCTTGGGGCTGTTGGCTCATGGCTTCCAGGGCCAGAATGGGCCATTTACTTGTTCCTTAGTCCTGGCCTTCGCAGCCCCTGGCAGGAGGCTGCAGTGTTGATGTGTTAACACATTACTTTCCAGCCCCAGAGAAGAACCCTGTGGACGTGAAGGGGGAAGGGAACGAGACCAACAATATGGTCATCACGTGGAAGGTGAGGGTCCCTGGACGAGCTCACCCCTGGACAGGAGGCCGGGACCCAGGTGTTTGCTGCTCCCCCCTGGCTGTGCTGAGGAGGAGGCTGATGACTGGGGATGCCAGTCAGGGCTGGGGGGTCACAGAAGGCGGGTGCTCTTGGCCGACCAACTGCTCTTCTGCTTGCCCCGCTTCAGCCGCTCCGGTGGATGGACTGGAACGCCCCCCAGGTTCAGTACCGCGTGCAGTGGCGCCCTCAGGGGACACGGGGGGCCTGGCAGGAACAGATCGTGAGCGACTCCTTCCTGGTGGTGTCCAACACGTCCACCTTTGTGCCCTATGAAATCAAAGTCCAGGCCGTGAACAGCCAGGGCAAGGGCCCCGAGCCCCAGGTCACCATTGGCTACTCCGGGGAGGACTGTGAGTATTGGGCCAGGCCCCGCCCACACCCAGACAGCCTCGGGGCGCACTGCTGTGTGCGCATGCGCGGCCCATGCCCGCCCAGTGCGCCAGCCCCCACCTCTGAATACTTCAGTGCGCATTTCCCCGTGAATAAGGACATTCTCATACATAAGGAGAGTGACGCTTCACAGCGACACAACACTTTTCCGTACCTGGCAGTCGCTATTCTCGTGGTATCCACCGATGCCGTCTTTTACAGCATTTCCTCTGTGCGGCGCGGGGATCTAGTGCAAGCATCTGGTGCTCCCGCCTCTTGTTTCCTTGAATCTGCAGCATTACCAGATGTGAACGTTGATCACCTGGTCGAGGTTTTGTCAGGCTTCTCCTTGGGGTAGTTACTATTTTCACCTCTGCAGCTAATAAGCAGTCCAGGGAGAGACCTTGAGACCATGCAAACGTCCTGCCGCTCGTCAGACTGCCCCCACTCCCCACAACCAAATCCGACCCCCGTCCTTCCCCTGTGGGAGGCCTCGCGCTGGCCTCAGGGCCGGGGGAAGGGCCTGTGGCTCTCTCCAAGTCAGTGGCTGTTTCCAGACCCCCAGGCGAGCCCTGAGCTGGAGGGCATCAAGATCCTCAACTCAAGCACCGTGCTGGTCAGGTGGCGGCCTGTGGACCTGGCCCAGGTCAAGGGTCACCTCCGGGGATACAATGTAAGGGTCCAAGGGGTGGGGTGGGGAATCCCTGGGGTGAGTGACGCGATTGGGGGCAGGGCTCTGCCACCTGGCCTGCTGGAAGTCTTAGGTTGGGAGGAAAGGGTCCCCATCGAGGGTGGTGGGGAGCACGCGCTGGGGGGCCGCACTGGACACCTTCTACTCCCACGTACGAGGTCTCCTGTCCACTTGTGCAGGTGACGTACTGGTGGGAGGGCAGTCAGAGGAAGCACAGCAAGAGGCACGTCCACAAAAACCATGTGGTGGTGCCTGCCAACACCACCAGCGCCATCCTTGGTGGCCTGCGGCCCTACAGCTCCTACCGTCTGGAGGTGCAGGCTTTTAACGGGCGGGGATTGGGACCCGCCAGCGAGTTAACCTTCAGCACCCCAGAGGGAGGTGAGTCCTGCCCCCATCCCTCCATCCCTGGCCCCTCCTCCTGGACCTGGGCGAGGACCTGCCGCTCGTGTCTGCCCCGCAGTGCCTGGCCACCCCGAGGCGTTGCACGTGGAGTGCCAGTCGGACACCAGCCTCCTGCTGCACTGGCAGCCGCCTCTCAGCCACAACGGCGTGCTCACCGGCTACGTGCTGTCCTACCACCCTCGTGCGTGCAGTGGCCAGTGGCCAGGGCGAGGGGTGTGGGAGGGGCGGAGCTGGCAGCCAAGGCCAACCCCCTGCCTGTCCCCGCAGTGGCTGAGGGGGGCAAGGAGCAGCTGTCCTTCGACCTTCCGGACCCCGAGCTGCGGACACACAACCTGACCAACCTCAGCCCCCACCTGCGCTACCAATTCCAGCTTCAGGCCACCACGAAGGAGGGCCCTGGCGAGGCCATTGTGCGGGAAGGAGGCACCATGGCGTTGGGTGAGCTGGAGGGAGGTCCTGCCAGGCCCAGGAGGGTGGGCCTGAGGCTGCCTGGTGGGCCGCACACCCTCCTTTGCCCCCGCTCCCGCAGGGATCCCGGATTTCGGCAACATCTCGGCCACGGCAGGTGAGAACTACAGCGTCGTGTCCTGGGTTCCCAAGGAGGGCCAGTGCAACTTCGGGTTCCACATCTGGTTCAAAGCCTTGGGAGGTGAGCACGAGAGGGGCCCGGCGGCGGCGGGCTCGGGGGTCTTGCCCTCCCGCGGGGCCGCCCGCCCTGCGCTCACCCCGGCTGCCTTCTCTCGGCG